TAAAATATGAAATAGAAGCTTAAATATCTCTTCCTTTTTTTTAGTTTTAGAAATATTTTATTTATTTGATAGAAAAACGTAAATCCTTAGTTCCTCCTCTGACTTTTATTCAATTTGAAGCTACTCCAGCCACTTTTCCCATACATGCCGTACCTCTGACTGTGAGTTACAACAAGAGATTCACGGTGATATAACCGGGCCCCGAACCGTGGGAACCAGGGAGCGATGCATGCAAATTGGACATTGCACTGATGAGCGATGTCCTCCGCTGGCGTTGGACTTTCTGCATTCCTGCCACTCTGTCTGTGCGGTGCACTGGCTTGTTTAATTGCAACTAAAAGCGGAAGCCAACAGAGGAGCATAGTGCAAAATGGTAAAAAGAAAAACACGAATATAACGCTGACTGCTTTCCTGAACTGTGTCAAAAACAAGGGCCAACAGCTGCGAAAAAAGCAAAAAAAAACACACAGAAACGAAGCGAAACTAAAGATTCACACACACGAGTTTGTTGTTTAGTTCTGCTTGTTTGTTTGTTTGTCGCCCTGTTTGTTCGCCGTCCATTGCTTCCTGCAATTTGCACACTGCCAAAGATTTCTCCTGGCCCGGCAGAATCACAGGTGTCAAAAATTGGTCTTAAAAATGGGTTTAAAAATCAAAAATATAGTTGAGTCTATCATACTTTACCATACTATACTATTTTTTTTAACATGTCCCTCAAATAGGTACAAAAAAAAATTACAATTTAAATATATTATTGAAAGGTTATAAATTTAAATATTATTCTGAAGAACTTTGGTATGGTTTATATGTTTTCCATAACAGAAGAGATTAACAATTTATTTTTACAAATTATTTTATTATTTTTATTATTATTATTTTTCCAATAAATATTAAAACAATTTACAATTATAATATAATAATGAGAGGTTATTAATTTAAGTAATATTTTTATTGGGTCTTAAAAATATTTTGGGAAGGTTGATATGTTTTACATAACAGAACAAATAAGAATTTATTTTTAGAAATATTTTATTTTTACTTGGCATTGAAATATCAAAACAGATTGGGATATAAATATAATATTAAAAGTTGATTCATTTAAATAATATTTTTATAGGGATTTAATAATGTTTTGGGATGGTTTTATATTGTTTAGATAACAGAGCATAGAACGATTTCAATATAATTTTAAATGCTTATTAGTCTGAATAATATTTTGGGATATATTGTTGTTTATAGGACAGTTCAGCATACGATCATTGGAAGACCGAAGACTTTAACCACTGTTCTTATATGGAGACGGCGACGTCGTTTTCCTATCAGCCTGATGCAGGAGATCTAAGTGGATGGTATGAGAGGGGTGGCCAGGTGGGAGTGGGGAGAGTGCCTGGAGGCAAACAGAAACCGAGTCGGCTTTCCTTTCTGACACACCATTTTGCATGTTGCATGAGCTGTCTCTCTCGTTCGCTTTCTCCCCTTTCCCCAGCCCCTTTCACCTGTGCCTGGCGCATATGTCACTTGTCTAAATAGCAGCGACAACGTTCACCTGAACTGGCCAAACGATGGATGGGGCCAGGGGGTGCTGAGGGGGCTGAAAACGGGAGGGGTGGGGAGGAGGTGCGCGGGGACAGGAGAAATTTGCTGCCGACTGGCCATGCATGCAAATGCAACATTTGCAACTGTTTGAGCCGCTGTTTTCTCTTTCTGTACCCTCACAGGGGGTATTTAAACTGTTGCACCTTGAATATAGAATTTAAAAGTTTAACAGCCAAAACGATTTTTTAAGTTTTATAAACTAAGAAGATTTTTAATTTTATAAGAAAGAAATTAGATTACAAATGTTTTGTTTTAATTGCAATTTTCAATCATATTTGGTATGTTATTCAATGAAAAATAGATATTATATCGCTCTTTTGGTTTTATCCTTTGCATTCTACTCCTTTCCCACAATGTCTAATATTATAAAACATATACCAAAAAAATATTTATAGTTTCTAAAAAAATTATTAGTTCCATTTTGTAACTATTCATTAGCAAGGGTAGTCTAAGTCTCGGTTTAAGAAACTCTCCAAATTTTCTTGTTTTTGCAGTTGCTTTAGCCAACAAGGTGGCAACACTGACACCAAGCAACGACACCAACAACCCTGCTGCAATAGCAAAAACATGTGGAAAGTCTCCAACAACAACCGGCAGTAATTTGGACACCTTGTCTATGTGTGTTTGTTTAGGCGGGCGAAAGAAAGTAGAGAAAGGCTGGGGAGCAGAGCGGGAGCATGGGACTAAATGAACAGCAAGGGAAAAAAGGCGAGAGAAAGGGGTAAAACCAAGGGGCAAGAATTTTTAGGCCAAAATATTTAAGATTTTAGGCAAACTATACGAAAAATTTGAGCTAAGATCAAAATAAGCTAATAATAAATAAATATATAGCTCTAATGGGTTATACAAGACAACAACATAATATTATTTCTTGAACAATGTTAGGGACAAGTAATTTTTTATCCCAGTTGTTAAGTTAGGACAGTCCCTAAAAAAAATAAAATATTTTCTTAGGCAATTTTGATTTTTCCCTTTTAAATGAATTTCCAGTATTCTTTCATCCCTTAACACTTTAATAGAGTAATGTCTAGTTCAAGATCAGGACACTTATTCCCTAATGAATTTTATTTACGCCAATCAAAAAGTCAAATGGAAACGCTATTAACCATTCTTAATTTAGTTTGTCAACGATTTAAGGCAAATCAATTAAAGCGGCACAAAAGATGGCCGAGCGTAATGACAGCCTTTGTTTTCATCCTTTTTTCCGGGCCAGTCATTCGTCCAGTCAGTCATTCAGTGGGGAACTGCCCTTTGCCCCTTAGTCCTTTGGCTATCTCTCGACTTTCTATATATATGTATACCCGTCTCTGTGGGGCTTCCCCGGCCGTGCTGCTGATTTTATACATTCAAATTAGTTCGCTTTGCACGAGTGGCCCTCGAATGAGAGAGCGTACTGCTGTGATATTTCCCAACCACGGCTGACTGGCCAGGCAACCAACCAACCCGTCGGCACACGGCACTACCGATCCAATCCTACTATATATATAAGGAAGGCGGGGGCTATCAAGTTGCCTGTGAAGTGCTTATCCTCAAATCAGTGACACTTGAATGTGCAGACCAAGTGACTGACCAAGTGGGTGACTGACTGACTGACTGTCGGAGGACTGGAGTTGTTATCTTGGCTATTTTCCTTTAATTTTGGATTTTTTTAAAACTATTTAAAAAATGAAAATCGAAATTTTGTTAATGGTAAAATAGTTAGTCGTACTGGAGGTTAAAAAGCAAATATACAAAAATATATGACATTTTATATAGTTTATTACTTCTTCTGAAGAACCTCAAACGCCAGCCCTATCCCAACCACTTAACCCGAGCCTCTTTTTATTATTTATTTATTTCAATCGAATGAGCTCTATTATTTCTGTCATAAGCTATTATTTCTTGGAAGCCGTCAACACTGAGGAGGAGCAACCTAACAAAAGTGCGAAGACTTCGTTTCATTTATTTACTTTGTCCTTCGCCTGCCAACTGGAACTGAAACTGGCCAACAACTCGAGTGTTGTTTGTGTGCCTGATTGAGTAACTAAATAAACCTATTCCTCTTTTTTCAGAGATCTAAAAGATTTATGAATTCTTAATCATAAAGGAACTAATCGCATAAATTCAACATCAAAAAAAAATATTTATAAGATTTATAAAATTAGTTTTATAAAATTGGATACATTTTGTAAAATAAGTACATTCTCAGGATTGAGATTTCTTAAAAATAAATTAAAATATTTTGTATTAAGATAAATTAGGTATAAGTAAAATAAATATATATTCATTTATGTTGCAAAAAAATATTAATTTAAGAAAGCTATTCAGTATTGACCAACTCAGTTAACCGAAACCCTTAAAATAAACATTATAATACTTCTCCTAAAAAGGTCAAATCCACAAAACGGCCATCGAAGGCTGGCCAATAAATTAGCGCAAGTAATTTGCGCAATTAACTAAAAACAGTTGAGACCGCTATTAGTTCGGTTAGCGAAATTCGGTCGATGCAGCAGCGCGAATGCAATGAATTGCCAATAAATTCTCGATGGCCAGCAATTTGGGGGAGGGGGGAAAGGCTTTCTATAACCCCTCGTACTTTATTTTATTCGATTGCGTGGGTGTGTCGGCAGAGTCAACTAATTTATGTTTTAACACACTCGCACATGCAAATTAGCACACGCACAAAACGAGTGCAAATATTGGGGCTCCAGGGGGGCGGTTATAATGAGCTCAAGCTGGGTAAATGGATGAATGGGTCTGAGGTTTTCAGGGGTTCTTTGCGGTTCATCTGGCAACAACTGTTGACAAAATGAAATCAATAAATTTTAGCGCAAATCAATTAAAACACACCAGCCAGATTGAACGGTGGGTGTGCTGGGCGTTTTGCCTACATCTTCTGTTGGGCAAACGAAAATATTTGTCAATTTGCGGTTTTCACAAAATTAAATTTGTCACACACGCAGCGACAAGGCAGAATGTCCGGATGAGCTTAGGGAATTTTGCCTCACTTTGTGTGAAATTAAATCTAATTTATTTATACGGCTTATTAAAATTGTTGTAAGTTTAATTATTTAATTAAAATTCGGTCATATTTGATTTGCATCCCAGTCAGCAGAGCAAACATGGCAGTTGAAAGTTGAACAGAATTTATGAAATCAAATTGAGACTAGCATGGCAAATTGATCAGCTTATGGGATAAGTCCAAATAAAAAAAATAAATAGATTACTAACTAATCACATTTGAGTTGCCATTAAAGAAGTTTTCAAGTTAAATAGGGTAAATAGGATTCGATAAATTGAAATAATATGGGTTATTGGACTAATCCATTTTATTTCAGTTTAACTAGTGGATTACATTTTAAACCCAAGGGGCATTTAAATTGCATTGAAGTTTCAATCGTAGTAGCCTTTTGATAGCTCATCAAATTTGATTTAAAAATTCAAACATTCAAAATACTTTAAACACGGAAAATGAAAACCCCTGTTTGATCACTTGATAAAGGGAAACTTAGAGAGGTACATATACGAGCAAAATCGAGCTCGGGCAGAACCAAAATTTTGCAAATCAATACAGCCTAGGAGTACCTTCTTTGCTAATTCCTAATTAGACACTAAGAACCAATTTGAGTAGTGCACTGCGTTAATTGTCAGATCGAACATACAGCAGCCTAGAAAAGCTATTCATAAAATATCATCCGTCCGGAAGTCGAATGTAAAGTCAGCAAACTATTCAAGCGCTCTGCAGTTCAGCTGACCATGTTCAAGGACACCGAGACCGCATCGACCAGCGGATTCGCACGGGAGGTGGGCGGTGCGCACTCGACACCTGACGCCCCACTGCCCATTCTCGGTGCCACGCCCCCCGACGCCAGCCGCACGCTGGACCGCCGCCTAAACCCCAACGCACCTGAGTTCGTGCCCGACTTCAAGGCCAGCCAGGTGGCCAAAAAGCTGTTCGATGACCGTAAGTAGTGCACATTTTCTACAATTTGTAAAATTTTTAAAATTGACCAATCCATCGATTTGACAATTGAAACAATTTTTTTTTGCGTAATACGTTAACGTATGGATTGCAATGAAAAATATTTTTATAACTAACGATTTTTTTATAACGACACCATACCCATTTTTATACCTATCAAGGCCATAAAACATAGTTAGCAAAATATTTGTTATAGTAAATACATATAAGATTATTAAAATGATTGATTAACAATTCATACTTACGTCAATGTAGCATAGTAATTAATAACCGCTAGACCCAGTTGGGCATTTCAAGCAACTAAAAACACAATAGAGGAAATTTGTAATGTTATATTTACATACTTTTGCATGAAAGATATTATGTTCGGTTGACTATTTATTATTGCAATATCGAAATACAATACAAACTTAAATATATGGTAGGTTTAACTTTAAATAGTAAAGTACTATTTGTTATAGTTTCAAAACAATCTGCATTGGTTAGTTTGGTATGGTTGGTATGTTAAACTTTATAATTAATATTTATGGTGTACAAATAATTTATTGTGAACTATCAATTTAAAAAATCTTTAGTAACATCAGAAAATCGTATGAAAATTTTTTTAATATTTTTTTTTTCGATTTCATGAAACTGCATTTCAGTATCACCCTATACCCGCTGGAGCACGGCTTCCTCGGAGGACATTTCCTACGGACCACGCTACGAGTCCATCTGGTGTGAGGCCACCCTCCAGCAACAGCTGCGCCTTCCCAATCCTGACTTCAATTACAGTCTAGATCCCAGTGAGTATGAGGTTGGAGAACTGGAGTTCGACGAGGTTCAGGCCATGAACATCGGAGCCGAATCCTATGATCCCCTGGATCGTAGCACAGCAGTCAGCCAGGCAATGAATCAAAGTGCCGAGATTGTGGGGGACGTACAGTCGCAACTGGAGGAATCGTTGGATGAGGGGAAAAACCATCGCTTTCAGAACCGCCATTCCTCCAGACCGACCAGAAGATGCTGTCTGCTCATGTAGAAACCAAGGCCTGGCGAATTTCAATCATTTACAATTTATATTTACACCTGTAAGCAGATTAATTAAAATGATCCATTACTCTCTAACAAATAATGGGTGTAAATAAATATTTTGTATTCCGATTTAAAGGGCATACATTTATAAACTTTACAAATTCTGTATTCATATCAAATATTACTAAATAATATAATAAAATGAACAATCATTTGTGAGCTTTTTGAAATTTCTTAATCCTCCTTAGCCTTACAATATCAATTATATTTCCAGCATTCAGCCGGCTTTAAATCTTCGATAAATTAAATTCCCCAGGAATATTCCAACAGCGTTGCAATTAAGACGCTTTTCAGAACTTTCTAAATGCACTCCTTTCAAGCCCACTTACGGCAGACTGAGAGAAAGCAGGCTCCGTGTAGAAAGGTCGACTATACCTATGACACAATTTATAGCCTACATTTTAGCGCCCTAAACGGGTTTGTTTTACTTTTCACGAAGACTCTTGCCTTGCTGCCTTCAGCTACTTTGTCCTGACTTTCTAATGATGTTGAATATGCATGAAAAGTTTTGCTGCACGCAGAATTTTCCCACCAGGATGGCAGCTGAAAACTTGATTCACCTGTCTATGGGTTGCATGCCTGCAGGACCGCCTTCACTAAATAGCACTGAAAATAATTAATATTATATATATATTTTTGCAACTAATTATGGATTTATAGAGGCTGCAGGACCGCCCTTCCTAAAAAGCTATATAGTTAATGAATATTATGTATATTTACTTGCATAAAATAATGGTTTTCTAAAGGAATTTACCAAAGCAGCTTTTAAACAATTAAATAATTAAAATATTTGAAATATTTTAATTATTTCAATTTTGTTCAAAACAGTGATAAAAATATTTGTCTATATCTTTTCCATTTTGTTTAATAATTTTTCCAGATAAGTTAAACATTTTTTTTCTAACTGCACACTTTTGGCATTGTCTGTTAAGCAAAGTGGCGACAACTTTCCATTTTTTCGCTTCTTGATTATTTTAGTTTTAGACTTTTATTTTGGATAAGAAAGGAAAACTCATAAGGGGCTTCGATGTGGTTGTGTGTGTGTGTGTCTTGTAATGAGAAAACTTTCCTGTCCTTGCGATGTCTCATTTAGAGCTGTCCGGGCACTGATGCCTGATGTCCTGATGTCCTGCTGTCCTGAGCCAAGGATAACGCAGCTGGCCGCGACTTTTGAATGATTGAAGTGGCGAAAGCAAAGGCAAAAGGACACGCAGTGCAGTCCCATCTGCAGTTGCACAAATGCTTGGCGGAAACAATTACCAACTCGTATGCAAAAGTGCCAAATTGCCAATGGAGCTTCTCCACGGGCGAAACTTTCACGCCGCTCAATGTCAGCAGGACATGTGAGCAAAAGGAGGTGCCAGCCCATGCACCTGGGCACACAGCCCCCCAATTTCTGGTCCTTTGGCAAGGATTCGCTGGCAATTTTGTGCCAATTTTCTGCGCCTTCTGTTTGTTTATGAAACAAGTCACGTAAGCGACGAAACCCGTTCGCTCCCTTGTCCTTTTTGGGGGGCGTTGAACCACCACCAGTTGGCTAAGTGGGCGTGCCATCACCTTGTTTTTCCCGCTATTACCCTTCTTGCCAGTGTTGTTTTTGTCCTGGGGCGATTGTCATTGGAATCGAAAATTCAGCAATTGGCAAACGTCACGAAAGCGGCTAAAACTTTTCACGATCTTTCGCGCCCTTTTCGCCTGATTGTTGATTTGGTAATCTTTTGTTTTAGCCCTTTTCGGCTGCAACTTTTGCCTTCGTTTTCTGTGATTTTTGGTTGCTTTTTATGGCTTGCTGTTTATTGCATAAAATTTATGCCCGTATATTGTGCAATTGAAAAAGTTTGTCACATTTCTGTGATTTTCCGGCCCCATCGTCAGCAGGACAGTGCGTTGCGAAAGTATACGTATAGCTAATATTTAAAATCATTAGTTCGTCAATAATAAAAAATGCAAATTTATTAATTATTATATATTTATTTAAATATTTATAATTGTGAAAGAAAAGCCGCACTTGATAGGCAGTTTTTTTGTAGAAAGGCGAATTTATGCCTACACCCTTATTTAAGCCCATGGGACGCACTGTTTAGGACTCTACTAAAATGTTCAAATAAGGGGAAACCAAAGCCGCTGGCATAAACCATTATTTATGCATCGATTTCAAATCACCAAAACAAAACTGAACGGGCCAGAAAAAGAAAGTCGCAAATAAACACAATGGCAAAACGGAAGGCGGCAAATAAATAGACAACACTGGAATATGGGCAAACAATGCCTGCAATAAATATCCACACATGTGTGCACTGCACACAGTCGGGTTGTCTTTATGCACCTATAAATAAATTCATTTTGTGATATTTATGCCACGATATGGCAACGGCTAAAATGGCAATCAGTTCAATGACCAACAAAAGTTTGTCTTGTCTTTCGGTTTTTAGTATTAGTTCAATACCCTGTGATATATTTACTAAAAAGGGTATCTAAGGCAAGGGGATTTTTTCGAAATATATTAAAGATTTTTTTTGGGAACTACATACATTTTTTGAAAATATTGCTACATTCGAGAGGTTAAAAAAAGTTTAAGCATGAACAAAAATAATATTGTTGAGATTTTTTTTTTTGAACTACATAATTTTTTTTTTAAATATTGCTACATTTGAAAGGTAAAGAAAGGTTTAGGCACAAAAGAAAATAATATTGTTGAGAGATAATAAAACTTGATTTCATATTCTAGGATCCTTTTGATGTCTTTTTTTAAAGACTTTTGCTTTGGTCCATTCCCTTAGTTGCTTCTCTACTCCTTCATCCCACTCTCTTTTTTTAGTTGGCAGCACTTTTAGTTAAATTGAGCAACAAACACGTTTGGCAATAAAAATGATTCCACTTCCAGTTGCTGCTGCCACGCCCCCTTTTCCCCACCCCCTTTTCTCCACCCCCTTTTCCACCACCCCCTTCTGACATCTCCAGTTTTTGGAGTCCGTTTCGAAAAATGCAAGCCGCAATGCGCTGGGAGTGGAGTTTTGCACATTCTAACAGATTTATTTCACTCGAAATAGTTTCATTTTAGTTGCATTATTGTTATTGTTAGTTCGTTGTTGTTTCTACTGCTGTTATTGCTATTGTTGTTGCCGCTTGCCAGAGTGACTGCGGAAAGTTTTTCTATTATTTTCAAATTTAACTTTGCCATTTGTTTGAATTTCATGGATACACGTACGTACAGCTGGGGTTGAAATAGCAGAGCTGAAAAATTTAGGTGTTTTCTCTGGGAAAATTACTCAAAGGATTCCTTTTTACTGGCTTTAGATCCTAAAAATAAGTTAAAAGTGCTTTTAAGCAAACTTTTTCTATTTTTGATGACTCGGAACTTTAATCAGTATTATGACTTATTTATTTTTATTGCTTAGTTAGCTTAGTTCTAGTGTACAACCTTAAATTTTAATATATTTGATAATTAATATTTTAATTTAGTTTTTGTTACTAATATCGTATCCCCATCTGTATGCATGTGCTTGTGGTCTAGTTGGTGTATATATATATGTGAAAGGGTTCGAGGCATTGAGTTTTAGTATTTACCAAGTTTTCCTACGCACCCGTTGCTCTTGCTTTTCCAATATGAAATATATTATCGATGTTCTCAACTTTTCTCAACTGCGCAATTTCCACTCAACTGTTCTAGTTTTCACTTTGGTAAATGTGCTGACATTTTCCAAATTCTTGCAACAGGTTGACGGATAAAAATATGTTGTTATAACTAACACATACTGACTAAACGAAAGTTTTGTATACATTTTAAAGCATAACGCCTATGCAATATTTTGATTACTTTTAAAAACTTTTCCAAGTACCTAACCTTAAATAATACTTTCTTAAAGTGAGTGAAGCTTTATGGAATTTTACTGTCAAGAAAAGCTGAGTCCATAGATCAAATAGATTCTTTCCTAATCTACCTGCATTCATTCCAACGGCTGCTTTGGCCAAAAGTTAAACCCTTTCCGGCTGGAATTTGATAAATCGAAATTACATTCAGTTGCGGAACAGGAACGCATTGCGCAGCGTTTTTAGGCCGTTCGTTGATGGGGTGCACCTGTCCCTTTTTTGGCCTAAATCGGGGTCAAAAGTCGGGGCATTCCGAGCGAAACTTATTTATAGTGGCCCGTACGATGGCGACGCAATTTATCGTCATTAGCGCGAGCCGCAAACGAAATTTTCACTTGAAAATTTCACGAGTTTAAATGAAATGCCTGCGGTCGTCAGCGGTTCGGTCGGCTTGGTTCAGTTTGGTATGGTCTGCCTTGGTCCTTTTCGCAATTGTTAATGATGGTGCACTGCCGGAAAACCAGCTTATGAAATACCAGTTATGCGCTGAAAGTGAGAAACTAAACCATTCGCAATTCTATAGACTGAAATCGCTGTGAAAATAAAGCCTATCATACGATTCTGTGCTGCATTCGTTTGTTATAACTATTTATTCAACGTATAATTTGGTTTCAAATAATTTTTTTCAGCAAGTAATTAAAAGTAATGATCCGAAGTGGTTTGCTTTATTACAATAATGGTATAGTGCTTATCATAATAATCTTGAAATGTTGAAAAACAATTTTCTTTCTTGTACTATCGTCGAGATATGAATGTAATTTTCTATTTCTCAGTGTAGAAAAACTGAATGAGGAGACGACAACGACGACGACAACGGTAATGATGATTACTGACGGTTTTAAATCATTCGCTAATTATTGCAATTGTTGCTCTCCTTCGCCGACCTGCCCTTTGTCCAGCTCCTTCTGAATTCATCCTCAAGGCCCGACACCGTTGATGACGTTCTCACTTGCCCTGCAACTGAATAAATGATGATGGACAGGGGACTCAGACTGGTAATCAAATACCCAAAGAGTTGATTCGCTTTTTGAGAAATTCGAGTGGCCGCAAAACAAACAATTTCCTCGGAGAAAATGTGAAATCACCAGCCAGGTATGGCGGAGGTGCAACCGCTGCACACTCGTGTGGGTGGGAATCCCCACAGCAATCAACCTAATTTATTACCGA